AGAGTCGCATGCAAAACATCACATAAGTATGTACCAACCGGGTTTTTCAATAGGGATGGTTTGATTTCTAAGAGTCGTTTGGGTAATTTTGTCATGATCTGTAATTCTTCTTCATTGCATTCAGTAAGGTTTACAACTTTATCATGGAACAATACACCAAAGTATAATGTTTACAAACTATTTAATTTTATTATCAATCGAGCCATTTTATGGTCGTAACAACTGTCCACCTATGCATGCTATTTGTCGAATTGTTGAAAGGTTCGAGCGTACACTTTTTTTACATAATGTTTAAGTGCCAATAAGATAAAGAACCGCTTGCAGTCATGAAAATTTTGCTGCCGTACAGGCAAGTGTTGCTGAACACCGTAATTTGAGTGTCTCAAACCCCAACCTGGCGAATCTTGAGAAAGGATTTGTGATTGCGCCCGTGTAAAATTATTCTAACTCAAGAACTGAAGCCATCGGACGTAAATGTCGTGAATTTGCTGATTTTGATTTGGAACAAATTTAGAACTATAACAATTTTTTTAAGAAATCATCTTCTCCGATGATACTCACTTTCATCTGAGTGGTGCGGAAAATAAACAAAACTGTCCATTCTGGTGAGAAGAAAATCCAGAAATTATTCCTGAACAACCATTATATTCACCTAAACTGACACTGTGATGCGATTTTTGATCTGGCGGAATCATCGGTCCTTACTTCTTTCGAAATGGAACTGGTAACACCCTTACTTTCATACATGCACATAGAAAGCATGCATAATGCCGCAATTGGGAATAGTTGATCCTAACAGCATCAAGCAAAAAGTGATAACCATAAATAAATTAAAGAAAAAAGCATCCGGTAATGATTTTTAACGAAGAAAATGGTAAAAGATGATTTAATAAAAACACAGTTATGTTCTTAAATGATGATGCTATGAGCAAACAATAGTAAGACTTTTTCATAATTTTAACATTCTTAATTTATTTTTCAAAATCTATCTTGTCCTCCTCAATGCCAATCTTGCCCAATACCCTTGTGCCAACGTTTTTCCAATCTTCGAAACAGTTATTAAAATCTATGTCCTCCCCCTCAAAGTAAGCCCTCTGGCCCCAATGCACTTCTGCCAACGTTTTTTCCTATCCAACTTCCGGAATAACTTTCAATACGCAAGTTAATTTTTACATGAAGTTAAAATGATTTGAAAGAATATATTTCTGAGCTGCACCGCAATGTGTACTCTTTATTAATACTTTTAAGACTAACTTATTACATGATTCTTACTTCTATTTGCACTAACTAGTATGTTTAATTATTAGGTTTGTTTACATACATACATATATATTGTTTGCTTAAATCGATTTCCTTTGTTTTAAGATAGGGTTGTTGTGGAATTATTGGCTGTGTTATTCCTCCATTTTACAATTGCTTTTTTTTTGACAAAATCGGTTCACGTCAATTGGAAATGATGGAGGTTGTCGTTGTTGATACTGATCCCGCAGATTTCTTTGTTGTTATTTTTTTACTATTTCCCATCCCTTAATTTGGTATAAGGTGCTGGTGTCTTCTCTTAATGGGAGTATGGTATTTTTGTTTTATCTTTTCCAGGTTTCAACGTTGTCCGCTGTTCCAGGGTCCATTTTTCAGGACCTTTAGATTTGTTTACATACAAATACCTGTGCCCAAAAAATAAGGTGACATCAAAAGCCAAAAACTCAACCCATATCGTTCCGCAACCACCGTATTCACCTAATCTGGCGTATGGCTGTTCACCAAGCTTAAAAGAGCGGGGACACCGTTTTTATACGATAGAGGAGATTCAAGCCGCAGCGAAGACGGAACTGAAGGCCATCCCGGAAAGTAACTACAACCAGTGTTTCGAAGATTGGAAAATCCGTTGGCATAATGTACTACATCTAGTGGGGACTACTTTGAAGAGGATGAAATTGATTTGGAAGAATAAATAAAGAATTTTCAAAATAAATACAATGTCACCTTATTTTTTGGGCACAGTTATATTGTTTGCTTAAATTAATTTCTTTTGTTCTAAGATAAGGTTGTTATGCTATTGAAATTAAACTTTTTTTTATGCATTTTCTTCAAGGTTTTTTTGATACATTGTGTTTATGTCATAAAGAATACGTTCTTTAATTCGCGTAGCGATTCACGTTTAATGTCTTCAATTGATTCAATGCACTATGCGACGGCGCATTATCGGAGTGCAAAAACTAAGAGTTGCCGGCTCATAATTCCGGCCTCTTTTTACGAAAAACTTCGCGCTAACGATGGCTTCGGCCACCTTTGGGTCCTAAAGATAGATACAAGACTCATCGTTATAATACGTTTCATGAAATTTTGGTAGTCGGAAAGCATTGTTTCACAGACGTTAATGCGACACTGTTCTTCGAAAAAATTGGGATTTTTGGAACCAATCATGCTTACATTTTTCTTAGGCCCAAATGATCTCTCAACGTGGTTTTTAGTAATCCTTCCGATATTCCAAGACCAGAAAACCTACTGACACACATATTCACCATGCGCCAAATCTTAGAAAAGCCTCGTGAAAAGATGATCTGCAAACCACTTCTCGATTTCAAATCAATTGAAGAAAACTATCACCTAATAAGAGCATAAGAACATTACTGGCAGGAAGTTCTTGAATTAGTGGGATTACGTATAGTATGTACATAAATTTATATGTATGTATATTTCTCAGGCTCAACTTATTGATGGGGTGTTCTACGTCATGCGTATTCTTTAGCAAATAAATCACTCCCACTCACACTAGATGGGAGAGTTGATGCTTTGTGTCCGTCACGATATCAACTATGTGATGTGCATAATGCGCTTATGGATATTTATGAAGACGAAACATTAGTAGGATCATCTTGAAATCAAACTCGTTTTAAAGCCCAAGCAATTGCAAATAAAACTAATGTTTTTTCGTATAATATTTTATCTGACATAATTTTGACGTAAACGTGCTGCAATAAAAACAAATAGTCCCTGATGTCGGCTATACATATCCCGCAAAAAAGTATATCTTCAAATTGTTGAATAATATAGGTTTTGAAAAACTGTTCATAGATGCTAGAGAATTGTCAGATGAAATAAACATGCCATCAACATTCGAATCAGAAAAGCAACAGTTTGCTTTAGAAAACAGAAAATATCGTTCAATAATAATGATAATAATACCGAACGATTACCCTCCTCTCGCAAGAGGCGCAATCCGCAAACGAACGGAATTAGCCGAGTCATAAAAGGCAAGAGAGTTTTAAGCGTTGCGATTTTTAGCTTCTCAGCTACAGAAACAAAAATTTCATCAGACAAAATGATGAATTAGGCTAAAGTAAGTTTATTATTTTTAAATGTGACTTGTTAAGAATAGATAAAATATTTTTTTAGTAGAAAAAAATGTGAATCTCTTAGATCAAATGTGCTGGAAGGAGAATTGAAATCGTAACATATACGGCGGTACGTATTTTAAAAGAAAAGGTATAAACTGTCTGGTTGCGCAATCGTTCCCATTCAGACTCTAACTTATCCGAATGGACTTGATAATTAGGGCTCCATATCACAGAAGCAACCTCCAGTAAAGGTCTCACCAAAGATGTGTGAAGAATTTTTGTAGTATGCGGATCTCTAAATCTTTAGACCTCTAGATCTTTAGATCAACGTTTAACAAAACTAAGAGCGCCTTTAGGGAAGGGACATTAATTAAATCAGAAATTATCGTTAAATACAACTTTTTGAGTTTTATTACTAAGATAAGAAGTAAGCCATTTTAGAAATATCCGTTGAAAACCAAGAAGAATCATTATAGAAGAATTATAAAAGAATTGCGTGGTTTACTTTACCAAAATCTTTAAAAAAAAAAAATCTGTGTATATATCATCAGTATAGTTATTCTCCCTAAAGTCACATGTATCAATGTGTAACAAATTCTAGCAAATTAGTAAAGAAATCCAGAAAGTTATTTCATATGTAATAATTGCTTCAAAAAGTTTAGATATGGCTGACAACTTTGCTATTATACTATAGTTTTTAATGGATGACCAAAATTCAATCTTATGTAAAGAAATTATAAATGACTTTTTCCACATTGGTGGATTAAGAGTTGCATTAAACAGTGTTTTTAAGCGTTGGTATATATAATGTATTTGATGCATTTTTTAAGGAAGCATGAGGGAATCATATCTGGACCATAATTAAATGATTGTTTTAACATATTTAACACGTCTATTTCGGAAATGGTAGATGCATCAATTACAGAAATTGGATATAATATGAAGGTTCGACGTCAAAGCGTTCTCGGCTCTCTTTGAATAATTGTACCAATCAAAAATACTTTTTTTTCTTTATTTAAGAGAAGCAAACGCTTCTTTGAACTTCGGTTACAGGCAATACCATTTATACGATGTGAACAAATCCAGGCCTAGTTGACTATAATATAGCTTGCAAATGAACGTCTTTTTGTGGTTTCTGTGCAACCCTTGGAAAGACCATTAATACACAGCTGATCGGTGAAGAAAAACATTTTTATGTAAGCAAAATTTTCGCACAAATTGGAGAATATGGCGAAAAAAAGGTTGAAAGAATAATTAACTGACGCATTATTTGATGAAGCGGCTGAAGAAATTATGGACATTGAAGGTAAGAAATATTTTTATGCGGCACATAGCAAAAATTTCAAATGCCTTGATTTTCAATTTACAAAATTTACAAAAATTTCTCCATTTCTTCTCTTTGTTTACAATGTTTTATTTTTGACAGCAGCTGATAATTTGCAATTTAGTGTTGCAAATAATACAATGGCGTTTTTCACCAGATTCTGAATTGTGTATAAACATAAATGCGTTTATATGCAATACGTATGCACTCAAAAACCAAATACAAACATATTGATTACAAATGCCCATACGCACTTGAAAACGACCCAAGCCATGTAACATAAACAACATGATAACATACTTACACTTATTAAATTGTATAATTAAAAACAAACCCCATATAGTGTGCAGTACATATCAATATACATATCTAATTAGATGCGTAAGATTTCTGAAATAATAAAGCTTCAAAAAGCAAAATAAAAATTAGAATGAAATAATTCTCCCTCGATGCGAGTCTTTCACTGTCCCCCAAAAGCGGTAAGGTATTGAATAAAACTTGAGGTAATAACATTTGGTCCTTCGAGCCGGATTTAGTCCTCGGTCAAAATTTAAGAGGCCTGTAATAATAAAACAGGCAATATACAAAAGAGTTCTAATCAAAATACAAGCATATGAAACAAATAATAATCGTAAGACGGGTGTATATTCCCGCATATTAAACTGAACACATAAGCCGCTTTAGCAAGAAACTAAACGCAGTGATCTAACTCATATCCAAAGAAATATTCAAAGACTGTGAATCGAGCCTCAGAAAGGTCAACGAGGCGACCAAATCAATATAGTTTAGTTTCTTTGGAGAATACCCAGCAGTTACACGAATACGAAAAGTGTTGCGGAAAAATCATAGATATAAACAGGAACAAAATCCTTGGAGACCAGGCGGTTCTATCCGAAAAGATGTTGTACTCGTCCAACTCTATTTCAGCAGAGCTATTGGTAAAAATCTCCATATTCAAGAGTAAAATTTAAATCCTCAGAAAAGTAATGGAAGATTCGTTCAGCAAAATAATTACATTAAAAAGTGATGACATCAATCTTTTGAAATTTGGTTTTATTCAAATGCACAATTTTCACACAACGTACAAAAATTATTTTTGAAGTTGAAAAATTATACTTTGAAATAACGGCAAGGTACTTCGAGAATTTTAAACATTGTAAAGTGAGATTACAAGAGGGACAGCCCGAAAATACTTATAGTTCTTTGCAGCGTGATGTTTTTTTAAAAGACTTTATCATAGAAGAAGAATAGGAAAATGTTTACCGCTTTAACTCGGATTTAAAAAAATTTTGAAAAGTTCCAGTATTTTATCTCTGTTCTATATAGTATATCTATCTTCTGAAACTGAGAAAGAAACAACAGAAGTAATAGAGTAAAACAGAAAAATATATGAAGTTGAAGAAAAATCCATTGAAGAATTTCATGAAATAATTGAGAAAAAACCAACTAAATTACTACCTCGTATTTATTCCTCCCAGCCGACGTTTTGCAGAAATGTAGGAAAATGAAGTCCAAGTTAAAGCATTTGAAGAGGAAGACGAAGCTTAAGTAATCATTCACATTTTAGAAGATGATGCTGAGGCCTAGAAAAAGAAAGAGGAAGTTAAAGCAAGCACCTCCGCCAGCTACATTTTTGAATAATGATTTTAAACGAGCGATTGCATCAAATACGGAGAGAGAAGACTTCAAGTGGCGTTTTATTCCAAGGGATAGTCCTCACATCGGAGGAATTAGGAAGATTGGTTATGAAGAAGACAGTGAAGACTAGAATATTAAGATGCCAATAAAAGCATAACATCAAAGGCACACCGTCGTCCGATGAGAAAGAGGTTAAGTCAACAGGATACGTTTGTAACGAATTTAAAGAAATAGTTGCGAGCAAACTATCACTGATACAACAAGGAAGGCGCATAGTCATCATGAACGTAACTTAGTTGGAGAACATCACAAAATCGCAAGCTGCGGTTACCTTTCCCGCAGTTACTTTTGCCGCCCGAGAGCATGTTCAAAATTGAACATGTTCATTGCAACTAAAGGGCAGAATGCAGCAATATATATTTAGACACATTTATCTATTTAAAACTATTAAATAAGATAAGAAATATGTAATTCTAATAAATTAAACTGTCCACTGTAACTGTATTAGATAAGGCAGAGACAGTACAAAACGTACATAAATAAACGTATAAACATAAATGCATTTATATGCAACACAAACACACATGTACTAAATTGTATAGTTAAAAACAATCCCATGTGGTGTGCAGTACATTTAATTAGATACGCAGAATTACCGAAATCTCTACATCTTATAAAATAAAGCCTTAAAATGTGTATGTTACCTCACAGCTCAGCTAAATCTTAACCGATTTTATTCCGGTTTTTYGCAAAACATACCTTGAGCCCTCCTCTCCAACGTAGGATACCTTAAAAAATATTTT